CATAGCCTGATGTAAACACGCGGGAGGTGGGGAGAACACTCGATAAGCGTAGGAAACCACGACGCGAAGCGGAGTGCATTACTTTTATGAATGTTATACCTTGCAAGAGTATATTTCAAACCGAAGTCAAGTTCTAGTTTCGATTTAACCTCAAGTCAAGGAAAATCTGACTCTTTTTCCATTTTGGGCGTTGTGATTTCTTAGTTCCGCGTGCAAGTAACACAGAGGAGTTAACAAGAAAGCTCGATTCAATTTTTTATTTTTTATTTACCAGACGAGGGAGTTAAATGCCGCATTGGCTCGCAACTGCTATTGCACAAAGTAAACGATTTCCAATGTAGTCATGAATTTTCCCCTAAAAATTCCGTTTTCTGTTAGTAACTCACAACTGCGGCAGAGGTGCTTTTTCAACAACTCTTTGAGACATTTCACGTTAACCATGATAAGGACGATGCTCGAGCGTCATCGTATATCATCCGTAAGGATGAAAAGGATAAATTTCCAATAATTTCTCTCTCTAACCTGTATTAAGCGAAGCTCAAAGCTCTGACAAAGGGCTAACGCTCGAAACGTCAGCTTTGAAACTCTTTACGGTGGCCAATTCACGTTATCAACTTAGTCAATATTACTAAATTACCCTGTTATACTCTCCCACCGAAGCAGCACCACAGTTTTCAGAAACTTACCCCCTTTGTAATGGTACCTTGCGAGTCGTTTCAGGCTTATGATACGAATGCAAAGGGAAATCTAATCTTCACTGGATAGAGGAAACAAAGATCTGATCCTAAAAAAAATACCAAAAATGAGGTGATTACTAACTTTTCCGCTCAAGTGGCAACAGTACGACAAAGATTGCTATGATCCTCCACCATGTTCATCTGCAGTAGAAGCCCATCCTTCATTTAGATAAGAAATAGGAAAATGACAAAGGTTTCGACTACGGCACAATAAATGGTTGTTAAGGCAAATCTCTCTTGTGAACAGGAAGATACCGTAGCTGAATTCGTGGTTCAACTGTCGAAAGAGTTGAAGCCCGGCGACTCCCACTCACTTAGGAAAATAAAAGCATGGTAAACATCTGATAAGAAAATGGTATTTCTGACGAATGAGTCTGCGAATAAGGCAGAAATAAATATTTT